CTGTCGATTGGCTTTACTGGAAGATTCATGCTGACGCTGTTTCCGAGGCAATCTCCTTCGATTCCGATGAGAAGGTGCTAAGCTTTCATCCGTCATTTGACGAACGTAATCAGAGAAAGGTATCATCGTCACAACTAAATTCAGGTTAACCAGTTTTCTCGACTATGATGATGTCCGTCATATGAAACAAGAGATTCCTCGAAACTCAACTTTTCTTCGTATGCATTCAATTAAGTTTGAGTAAAGATATAAGGAAAGGTTAGATGATTTTACCACTCAAACGAATAGATTACCAAATTGAAATTAATTTGCCTCTGCATCCTAAATAAATTCCTATTTAACCTAATCTTTAGTTATATTTGAAAATAAAATCGGCGACATTATTGATATACAAATGAAGAATTACGAAAAATATCGAAAAATATTGAGTTATTGTTGCGTTCAGCAAAGGAAGAGTAAAGCGAAGAAGGAAAGTTAGTTGAAATTGAACAATACGAAAAATTTGGAACACAATTGAATTCACAATTAGAGTAAACTGAGGTTATATTTGTTGAGTTTACTTCCATTTCGAATGAAAGTGTTTGGTGAATAGATTCGAAGGTCGATTCCAGCAGAAGACGACAGCGGATTCTTCTTAACCAACAGTCAATTGGCTTTGCTGGAACATTCATGCTGACGCTGTTTCTGAGGTAATGTCTTTCGATTCCGGTGAAAAGTTGCTAACCTCTCGTCCGTCATGTGACGAACATCATCAGAGCAAGTTATCATCGTCACAACAAACTTCAAGCTTACGAGTCAAGAAAACTCATCGGCAAATCCCTCAAAAGTAGCATATGACCTTAACTAACCAAATCACTTTATACTTGATCAAACAGGCCAGATGTAGAGTATAGATACCAATTTTTAGGGATTTGCAGGTAAGTGTTCTTGACTCGTTAGCTTGAATTTTGTTGTGACGATGATACCTTTCTCTGATTATGTTCGTCAAATGACGGACGAAAGCTTAGCATCTTCTCATCGGAATCGAAGGAGATTGCCCCGGAAACAGCGTCAGCATAAATGTTCCAGTAAAGCCAATCGACAGCTGGTCAAGAGGAATCCACCGTCGTCTTTTGGTGGTAATCGACCTTCGAATATCTTCACGCAACACTTTCACTCGAAATGGAAGTAAGCTCAACAATTATGAAACAAGATATTTCTCGAAACCTAACGTTTCGAGATTATACGCTAAACTGTCATGGTTCGACTCCCGCTGGAGGTGTAGATAAGAGCGAGGCGAGGTCGAAACTGTAGTCTACTTGTGCCTGAATGCGTACACCTTTTGGGAAAGCAAGTCTCATATGATTGTATGAAAAATGAACAACCATACCTGCATGACCTTACACGAAACAGGGTGAAAAGATCGCATTTATCTGATTCACTGGTAGTCTCGAAAATCCACTCTCTAACGCAAAAAGCAATTAGTATGCAACTTTGCGGAAACCGACTTTTTTTCATACATCATCCGTCCGGCCCCTCTTTCCCAGGCAGGCCGAAGTTGCTTGTTCGCCAATCAGACTTTGACTCGGACCGACACCGATCGGGCCCCAGCATGCCCGAGCCCCAGAAAGGGGCACGGAGTGGAGCGCCAGCCAATCGGTTCAGTCGAGCTGAACAGCCGACGCGTTGGCTGGTGGGGCGGAAGACGACAAGCTCACTTGAAAAACGGTTGAAGCGAGAACTGTGAAACGGGAAGAGGTGGAAAGCAAATTGTGGAACGTGATGAGGAGCTTTACGAGAAGGCGGCATCAAGAAGCAACGTCTACTGAAAAGCAAATTAATGGCTTTATCAATTAATTATTAACACTAATTGGCGGACTTAATTCACGCAGGTAGACAATCAGATGGACAGACAGGATGAGGATAGATTGATGCACATTCGTGTGGACATGCTCACAGGCGGACGATGGCAATGAGTGAAAGAGGAGAATGTAGGCGGTGATTGGGTAGATTAATAGGCAAATGGGACTAACACGACATCATCATCATCATCATCATCATCATCATCATCAGCAACCTAAATATATGAACAGGTAGTGTGTGGTTAAGTCGGTTCGTCCGTTGGCGTTGAAACTGACTGAAAGGTCGTGGGGGTGATGGTGAAAGAGACACGATGTAGATGTGCGTGTGGCCAAATATGTCAATTAGTCCATATGGATATGGATGGACGAAAAAGGCGGTGGGATTTGTGCCTTGGTACCTGTGAATTGGTGTGTTTGGTTGGTTTCTGTCTGTATTGGCAGGCCTTATGCCTGTCGGTGTGGCTAGTTCAGTTTAGGAAGTGAGGATGTGAGGGCGTGGATGAACGCAATCGTTTGTTCGTGTGTACACACTCAGAACTGGTGGTACCGAGTGCAATTGTGTTTAGCGCAGACAGACAGAAGCACAGAAAGTGGTAGAGACAGAGGTGACCTAAAAGGCAAACGATTCGCTCCAAGTGTACCATCAATCTCGATCACATGCTCAACTGTCTATCTGTTGGCCCCACTTATTTCACCCTCTAAGTCGTTTATAAATAGCCACTACAATTTTCCCCTTTTATGCCCTCTCCCTTCTGCCCTGTCTCTTCTACAGGCTCTCTGATTTTAGCTCTTGCCCGGCTTGCTTTGGCCTCTTTTCTCGTCGTTGCACTCAATTAATGAAGATCACCACAGCGCTATGACCCATACTCGACGCTCCTCCTCCCGACTTCTTTGGCCTCGGACAACCTCCACCGCGCACTACTTTTACCAGCATCCCATAATTTGGGCAAGTTATCGAAAATGTCGCCATTTTCTCCGTTGCCTCATACTACTTGTATACATGGCGAGTAGTGACTGAAGAAAGGTTATCTCATAAATATAATATAATATAATGATATAAATGGAAAATCAACCTATAATTTATTGATACGAATGATAACTGGTTTTTGACCAGTCTTCTAAGATAATATTGCCAGGAAGACTTTCGTTTCGTATGCAAGTGTGTCTGATGAAGACATTCAGAGATAGACCTCTACAGAAAACGATAGTTGATTAACGTTGTACTGCAGCCATTTGTTTTATTCACACGGTGTTAAGTTGAGACTTTTAAAAGAATGTCTTCTAATTTGGATGCTGTACAGCATATGATGAACGAAATATCAGTTCGCTTACGCCCGAAACGAGCAAAGATTGCGTCAAGTTAAAGGTTGTATCAAAGGCTGCAGTACAACAAAAATCGGCCGTTGTCTTCTGGTTAGATTGACCTTCGAACCTCATCATACCAAATGAAAGTCTCCCCATTGATACTTTGAATGACTAAGGAATTAATAAATTACACTCATTACCAGTTGAGGGAGGATTGCCTCAAATTGGAAACTTATGTATAGTGACATTGAGTCTTCGAATTACAGCCCTTAGAGCACAAGCCTCATACTACTTGTACACATGGCGAGTAGTGACTAAAGAAAGGTTACCTCATAAATATAATATAATATAATAATATAAATAGAAAATCAACCTATAATTTATTGATACGAATGGTAACTGGTTTTCGACGAATCTCCTAAGATAATATTGCCAAGAAGACTTTCGTTTCGTATGCAAGGGTGTCTGATGAAGAGATTCGGAGATAGACCTCCACAGAAGACGATAGTTGATTAACGTTTTATTGCAGCCATTTGTTTTATTCACATGGTGTTAAGTTGAGACTTTTAAAAGAATGTCTTCTAATTTGGATGCTGTACAGCATATGATGAACGAAATAGCAGTCCGTTTCGGCCCGAAACGAGCAAAGATTGCGTCAAGTCAAAGGTTGTATCAAAGGCTGCAGTACAACAAAAATCGGGCGTTGTCTTCTGGTTAGATCGACCTTCGAATCTTCGCATTGATACTTTGAATGACTAAGTAATTAATAAATTACACTCACTACCAGTTGAGGGAGGATTGCCTAAAATTGGAAACTTTTGTATTGTGACATTGAGTCTTCGGATTACGGCCCTGAGAGCACAAGCCTTCCATGCAGAGCTTTCTTATGTCCCACCGTCACGGACATTATCCCAACCAGAAAGCATCATTTTCCAAAATAGCACCAATACATTTGATTACCTTCCTTGGCCTGTTGTTCTGTCATTCGACTGGCATACAAAATTGCC